CGTCGACATGTACCCTTTTCTTTTGTAACCACCCTATTCCGACACTACGTGTTTAGATATTCAGATTTGAAGTTCTGCTTCCCTCCCCCCTACATGTTTGACATGGGCGATTAGTTTCTTTTATTAGAAAGAGGTGGCATTCAAATTTCAAATCGTATCACCAATTACAAACTTAGTTCTGCACATGCGCGCATTGCTGGCCAACTTTTGCCATGTTTGGCTTAAGAAATCGACTTGATTTTAATAGAAGTAGCCTACGTTCTCCCACGTTCCATTTACGTACGGGATTAATCCCTCAAAAATGTTGCGGAATCCCCGATATTGCATTCCCTAATCCGGGCGGAGCTTTGAGGCTTGTTTCCAAAGGTCCGAAACTTGATTTTAGTTTTCAATGGTTCCAATCGCTTAAAAAAGTCAATGCCAAAACATTTTCTTGTCCCAATCCGGATTCAAATTGAGGACGGTCTTACTCGTCGTGTAGGCAAGCACTTACTCCATTAGGTTGTCTCCTCAAGTATAAAATAAATTGTGCACAATTCTTGTGTAGATAAAGCGCATTTTTTAAACCGAAATAGCTTGGTAATGGTTATAAGGTAGTAGCATGCTATATTTATCGATGTTTTCTTCCTTGTTAGATGATTAATGGAGAAGGGGCTGTTTACAAATAAACATTTTCCTAAAGGTCGCCTGGTACACATTCAAAATCTAGGTACGCTATGTAATGCAAGAAGGATCAAGCCCTTAGAGAAATTCTCCGAAATATTGCATTTTCCCTTTCTAGGTATCTTCCTCCCAGATTTTCGAGATATTCACAATTAAGTTTTTACATCGCCGGTAGATGTCTCTCGTCTAAACCTTCTTTTTGCCCTTCAAGGGTACCCCTCCTTCTCTACACTAATATATGTTTCGACCAAACAATTCAATTTGCCTTTGGGAAGTACCCTTCGTCCAACGAAACGTTTCGAGATATTCGCCCTTAAAGTTTTGACATATCCAATAGATATATTTCTTTCAGATGTCCCAATCATCCTTTGTGAGTACCCTCCTCCGACAATCTGATGTTTTTGAGATTAAGGAATTATTTATATCCAATCACGATAAGGGGTCGAGGAGGAGGACGATGGTTGGTAGAAATTAATTCCTTTCATTGAGACCTTTCATTAGAGTACCATGCAGGATGAAACCAGTCCCCCCCCTCCTCTTTTGATAAGAAGTTAGAAAGAAAGGCGGTAGTTACCAGAAAACAGTTCCTTTTGTTGAGACCTTTAATTAGAATACTGTGACAGATAAAATTATTTCTACCTTCCCTCTCCACCCCCCTCCCCCATCGGCCACCTACTGATCTCGAAAAGGAGTCGCAGAGGAAACCAGCTGGTTGTCGCATGTAAAGGTTATGTATGTTTTATTTTCCAAAACTCAGGGAATAATTAATGCGCCCCCTTCCCCTTGAGACAGCGAAATTGGATAATCACCTTGAAGGTATTGGCTACGTATTGCAAAAATCCAGGACTCTAGGATCATTCCCCTAAAAGTAATTCAAAACCGCAAAAGTGGGTCCAGACGGACGAAGAGACAGACAGACTTCTCACTTACTATCCTGACGTGAGATATGAAGGAAAAGTTTTTATCAAGCGTAACCTCCAATATCTTTATTCTAGGTTCAGCGGTAACTTTGTGTCCTCCACCGTGAGATTGTGGATTTTTCTCACCCTGCCATTAAGGCTACTTTCGTTTTCTCCTGTAGCAACTTTAAACACGTGCCCCTATCCAGTTATTGTTTTTGTCGATCGTCCCTGTCAGTTTTTCACAAGCTTTGTTCAAACTGTTACGGATTTCTACAGTCAGACCATCCGCGAAGCCGATTACTTTCACCTCACTCCACAACAAAGGTCTTAAAACAGACCCTTGTGGCACTCCCGCACTCGATTTGAAGTTATAGGTCACACCTAAGGGTTTTTGAGCCGTACCAGTTCCACTATGTATTCCCCGCACCCCAATCACGCTACTCCTTTATGATCGCCTTCCTAGATGCCGATTTAAAAGCGTTCTTAACATCCAGCGAAGCAACCAAACACACTTCCCGAGTTCTACACGTTCCGGAGTTTGCTAAACGTATTTCATCTAAAATCCGTAGCGGTGTATTTTTGGTATACCATCTTTTCCGGAAGCTATACTATTCTGGCGAAAGTTTGACTCCTACCTGTAGGGTTAACCGAGCTTTTCCAGCAACTCTATTAGACATATGGGTCGAAGAGCACCTGTTGCGTTCGGAATTGTCACTATAACAGGCAGGTTTCCGTTTCCTTCCGTTGCAGTTTGGGTCCATATCTCTGGTCTGGTCATTGCTCAGTTGGAATAAGGTCGGGACCAGGCGCTTTGTTTATAGGAAGCCCTGCCCTGCGTCGTCAGTAACTCTTGCATAGTTACCGGTGGGATGTCTTGTACTTTTCGTACAGTGTTGTTCGTCCGTCATAACCCTCGGCATCCTCCTATCTAGTTTCTTCACCACGAGAATCATTTAGTACATTTTCTTTGATTATTTCACCCTCCCTTGAAAACACTATCATTTCATCACTTTCCCGGACATTTACAGAACCCTTACCAACATTTGGCACTTCTGCAATCTGACAGTTGAGCCGATGTAAATCAATTCATTTGTCCATCATTACTTGTTATTAATTTTTTTTACGCTCTCTCGTATAAGTAGAGGTAGGTGCAATCGGGTTTAAATATTGGTATCTTATGTAGTACTTTTGCAGGGGTTTTTGAGTACCCCAACTGAAAAATACCAATCCCAGATCGAGGGTATACCAACTACAAAGGTATGTTCCTGTACAGATCAGCAGCGTAATTAGAAGCTCTACTTGTTTGCTCGTCTGAGTGAGATAACGGCCAACTTGCAGAGATGCCATTAAGCCATCCTCTATTTCACCTGCCATGTGGACGTTTGGGGATTAGATAAGAATTAGGACAACAGGAATTAACCGAAACACATAACCAGCGAGGGGATACCTTTCTTTTCTTCTTTTTTTAAGCGTGTCGTTAATTACAATTCGTTAGTGTTACTCGATTGTTGAATGATCGATTTTGGATCGCGTTAGCAATAGTTGGTGTACGCCTAATCCTACTTTTATAATCACTTTCGTGGCAGATAATCCGAAAATGTTTGTGGCGAATACCTACCATTTCTGCGAATATTTCTGGTGCAAAATTTTTAAGCGCCAATCATCCGTAAACGAATTTACCCAAAATTGTCCTGAAACCTTCATTTTCTTGTCTACTTTCTGTCAGGAAATTTTAGTTTCCATGACAGAGGCCGAGCAGACTACGTTTCCTGCCGCTTGTCACTTTACTTACCGGATCTGTCACTTTACCGGCCGTACCGTCACTTTACCGGCCGCATTTCTGACATTTACAAATGTCTATAATAACTCCTGTCATCACTGACAGATTGACATTAATCAAAAGTTCTATATAAAAATTGAAATTTTATATTAAAATACGATTTCGGGTAAAATTTAATACAAAACTCGTCAGTAAAATGACATTACCTGATTCGGAAATTAAAGTACTCGGCCCCTCAGGGGCCTCGCACTTCAATATTTCCTCACCAGTAATGTATCATTTTCCGCACCTTTGTAAATAACTATTCCAAGATTGGGGCAATTTCTGCTCCCATACCACACCGGAAGCAAATATTCCTATTAATTACCCTGCACGAGAAGCGATTATTCTTTGGACAAATTTACACCCAGAACGACAAAAATTGAAGATGTTGATATTGCTTGAAAATCTGGAAAACCCTTCATATCTAAATCAAGGTGAAAATCTTCAGAACCCCACAAATTTTGCGACTTTTGTGAATGTTCTGCTCTACTCAGCATTTATTTTAATTTTTGTGTGTGAAAATTTTGGGAATTATTGAATTTTCTGGGGTAAGTCTTCTGGGAGGAATTTCTCCACAATGGGTTATATTGTTTCATACGTAATTGTGGAGGTTGTCAACATGGGTATATTGTTAATCCATACAAAATGCCCTGTTGCAGAACCTAGTAACAAGATCAGTACTAATTGTTTGATTTCTCTACTACTATTCCTAAAATTAATACCGAAATCACCCCCTTTGCCGTATTTATCCCTGATGTGTCTATTTCTCTCACACAAGTGGCCTAGCAGCTGCAACTTCACCCTTGGACTTCCTACTTTGTTCAATTCTAATTTATCCGTACTCCACTACTAACGAATTATGCATATTATGAGCTTAATAATTTTTAATATTCATGTCAGTGATGCATATTCATCAGTTTTTACTATAAAATTAAAAGTGGCATGTCTAGTAATAATGTCTCATATTATGTGTCTTGTACTGTTTGCAGTGCGTCAGATTATTATTAAGTAATTAAACGAAATCACTTTATTAATTATCATCACCATGGGAATTTGCTCTGTTGTCTGCTCTTCATTTTGAAATGGCTGGTTTTGGATAAATCGAAAACTTGTGTACAACCCCTAAAATCATAATTAATGTTTTCTATAACATCCTGCACTTTGAAATTTATTCCCTGCACAGGATTACTAAAGCAGCTTTTAGTACCTAATCAAGATCGGCCATTCGAAGGAACATTAATCACCTCCATTCGTGCTATTTAATAACTATTATAGTGCTGTAAACAACTTATGTCATCTGAAGGTGTAAGTCCTTGATTTACTACCTTGCCGTTGAAGTAAATCTGCTTTACGATTTCCTATTAAAACTATAAAAACGCACGGTGATTGTGATTGAAAATTGCAATGGAAACAACTTAATTATGATTACTTCGACTAATTAGAATTACGCGACTAGATGGTTTAATTACGAACCGATTTCAATTACGGTCGCCGTTATCATTAGGTGGCAGAGTGTAACGAACTGTGCAATGATGAATTAGTAATCTATTAGTCTTAATTAGTTCTTAATTAACAATTTACATATTGCAGTGTCAAAGGAAGTCAAAACTTACATGTCCGTGCTTGTCCATTTCGTTATTGGTGAGTTTCACTTTTTCAAAGGAGACGACTTGCTTCCGGAGTTGTTCCCCCGTAAATGGAGAATCCGGGTGCGTGTAAAGACGACAGGGAGCAGGTGGGTCAGCTTTACCAGCGACTAACCACGATGAACGATGATATGCATAACGATACCTTTTGTTATCTACAGGTACGATGTCCAAAATCACAGCGTATCGTTGCTCCGGTCGTACGCCCGTAAATGACACCCTTAGCGTTGGAAACATCCTCCTTCAACAAAGAAAAAAATATAATTAATCCAATTCACAAGCAACTTAAACGCGATTTAAATTAGTCACCAGTCGCTGGGTTGATGTGGTGAGCTATAAAGTTTTTATGTAACGAAGGTTTACAGGTCATAATTCTTCAATAATACATTAAAAGCAAGGATCAATAATTCCGTTTGGTTTACTTCAAACGAACCAAATCGAAAACACTACTCGCTCAAGCGAAAGTATCAATCAATGGTGAAGAATAGAAGACCACCTAGTAATTTTTACACTTTCTGCTGCACGCGAAATGGTATCAACTCGACAGCTTTTATTCGAAGGCAAACCGTAATGATAGGTTGTCTATTTCGACAGGGGTAATTTAGATCAATGATCCAACTAGACAAAGTATTACAAGTCACTCTCACTATAGCTCAAACTAGTTTAAATAATTAGATGATGGCATTATCAAAATGAAGATTGGGTAACCAGCATGGGAAAATCGCTTAATTCACACCTATAGTGTTTTGATGATGTGGGCGCTACGGTGACCTAATCAACAAATTATGATTTATTACATAATTAGACGACTCAAGAACCTAAAATTTGAATTCGAGAAGCTTCCATAATTCATAATTTAGGATTAATTAGCATCTTTCGCATAAATTTATTTGTTTATAATTTGCATAGCTAGTTTCGCTTTTATACACCTGTAATTATTTACCTTAAATGTTAGCGAGCCAATTAACGGCGTTTTTATATGTTCATATGGGAGATAGGTAACAATGGAGGTAGTGTATGAGAAATAAATATTTGTTAATTAAGTAATCGTATGAGCGTGTTTCAGGTTGTATGATAATTAGTGCCAAAGTCTTCACGCATTTTGGTGTTAAAAACCCACTCCATAGATGGTGTAGTTTTTGCATGTACCTACTATAAAGGTGTTTTCTGCAACAACCTTCCAATAATCAATTTTTCCAAATACTACGAAGAATAACTAAACATGACACACACAGCACATCCTGATAGCACACGGCATACCAAATTTTGATCCACGAATTTCTCCATCTTTTGTACAACAAATTGATTCTCTTTTCAAATATTCTAAAAAAAACATACGCATTGCGTATGAGGAACAAAAGTGGCCTCGAATTCCTGATCAACCGGAAGTGATACCGGAAATTACTATATGGCGTCCCATATAAAATTATATTTGACTTTTTCGAATCTCGCCCAATAAACGGGATATTGAGGTGATCCTCTTCTCGAACACACTGTATAGGAATAAATTCTCTCTATTCTCAATTCTAATTATAAGAGAAGTTCCATGCTTTTCTATAGTACATCTGGAAATTTAAAGTATTTGATTCAAGGTAACGTGTCGTAATTTGGGAACTTATTTTAACATATTGATCACTGATTCATTAACGACTAGCGCATCTGATTTTTATCGTAATTCATTGCACTTTCCTACAGATAAATTCAAGCGAAAGTCTGCATAATAATTCAATAAACTCCAATTAACGTCAACAAAACAATGAAATAAGGTTCTAATTTAAGTTTATGTAAGATATTAAAATCATTCATGAATAAAACTTAATTACGTGTTGCATATTATAACGAGAAAGGATTTGTTCATGTAGTAGTACGTATTATATTTCATGATACCAAAGCTAAAGTTCCATCTGTCCATCGCGTTTTGTTTGGTTTTTAATAATTTTTCCATTGTGCGTACTATTAATATACTTCTATCATTTGTCAACGTTGCTTGTTTTTCTTGGATTTCTTCGCATAAGATTTCTCTTTCTTCTATGGAAAGTAATAGTCAACGTTCTAAACAGGGTTTCTCTTATATTTTTCCTTTCCTATAAGGAAGTATACTTTAGGCGCGTCATTCAGCACCAACCCCCCTTTTTTCTATTTTATCTACGTTGAAGATACGTTACGTGTGGTATGTAGGTCCAAGTGTTTGCCAGTTATCGTCAGACAAATAAATAATTGCCGTCTTTACTTTGTTTATTTCGTTGCACAGAAATTGTGTGTTATAAGATTAGATTTAAACGTCTGGAAATTATTTGCGTAGTATTTGTAAAAGTTTACCTCATGTTTTTCTCCGGTCGCCGATAAGAAATGTTCTTATCGCTGCGTACGCTAATTAAATTTCGAGATAAGAACGTGTTATAGCCGATAAGGAACCACAGATGCCGGTTCATCTTTGGAAGACGCGGTATTATTGTGGAAAGGAAGGGGGAACGGACGCGAGGAAAGGGAAGAATTGTTAAATATGGGAGACGGAAGTTAAGCAGGGTCTTTTGCCTTTTGTTGGTCATGCGCTTTTTGTTCGGTCGGCGTTATTTGTTTCAAAACAGTGAGTTTTACCTGCATCCAAGCTTTCTGTAAGGTAGGGAGTTGTGGCAATCTTTGAACGTATTTTGCAGTTAGTCAGTTATAAAGTCTTGTGGAAGGAGGTAAGAGTGTTTAAAGAGTTATGTGTACGTCATGTTAAAAGTTAGGTCGATCTAAACAGAAGTGTATTTTCCCGTTTATGAACAAGTTTATGGCGGGTTTATATTGTACCATCATTATCATTAGTTCAATCATTAAAAAATAGCCAATAGAAACACAGGTTTATCGTCCATTGCTAACAGCTTCAGAACATCTCCCACAGCAGAAATGGCAGTTTTCAACTTCACGATATTTCGAATTAACCACGCCGGGTTTTGGACGTGGGTATACAACTCGTGTACCTGCCAAACAAACCCCTGTCAAAACATTCCAAATCCGACCGCTCGATGCGCTGCTATAGAATAAATAGTGCCCGGATTGAACCAGACTTTACCCCAAAATTTCACTAATTTGTATAAGGTATTGGTATAAGGATTTATGAAAACGAGACCTACCTATCCGTACTGAAAAGCAAGGTCGAGCTCAATTACTGGTAATCTTTTTCGTTGTCATTATTGCAAATATTTCATGGATTTTAACCTACAAAATATATTTTTTTGGTGAAAAAGTTTTGCTATAATTGAATTGAAGGTATACAATCCGTCATATGATGACTATTTTTTACAGACAAATTTTGCTTTTGCTTTGTTTACGCTAAAACCATACATGTTCACAAACGCACAAAATCAGTCAATTTTATTGTCAATTTTGTCTGTGAACAATCACATCAATTAAACTTCCACTTCTTTGATTTTTATTTCAAGCAGTTATCTTTCTCCTAATTTATTTTCGGAGTGTATGATTTCCTAAAAAAAGTGAGCGCTTGATTTTCCCAATGATTTATTATTATTAAAATGTGTATTATATATTAAAATGTACATAATATTCAATATATATTACACATGTTTCCCAAAATCCGTACTGTATGGCAAACCAGAGCTCATTTTTTGCCTTAAACATTTTCATAAGTCATTTGTTCAGAAAAGGTTACCTTTGTTGTTAGAAAGTATTTGCTATGCTATGCAGAGTAACAGATTCTCTAGTTGCGGTTCTCACCAGATTTATAGTTGGCATTATTGACAATAGCAAAACCTTGTAAAATTCAGGTATAAATGGAAACGAGTGCCAATTTACTTAAGTTAAATAAATTAGATGTAAATTATAGACAAAAATTTCATTGTTAATTAATTAAGGGCAAGCCTGTTACTATTGAGAAACAGTAAGGTGACCCTACGAAACCCGCAAACGGAAAGCAAAAGTTTGCACCGTAACCTTATGTAACGCATAAAGTATTCAAACTGAAAATGAATTAATTACGTTTACTTTCTTCTCGAACAGGATTTTGCCCCATGATCCAGAACCATAAAGATAAATATATGTTAATTCTTGCACATGTATAAAGGACCCACTGCCGTGATTACGTTACTTTCTGTGTTCTTAATGAGGTTGTTAAAAAATTATAATGTGTGTATTTTATGGGTAAACACAAAAATGTTTAATTAAATATTATATCTATTACTTTTCCTTTTTTACGTATTTTCCGTTAATTTGGTAACATTCTGATCATGCTCGCTTTCTCCTGTCTTCTTTCTACCCAAAATTCAGTTTAGCAAACCGCAAATCATTGCACTTTTGGAAGATACTGGAATATGTAAAATATAGGATATTAAAGCACTTCTATGTGATAGATCACAATAATTATTGCACTGAAACTGTGCCATGGAAATAAAATCTCAAACGGACGAATAAAATGGGGCTAAGTATCAAACCTTGAGGAACTCCATTAGGAAGGAAATGAACCGATTTACCGATTTTGCTAAATCACGCATAGTTGTAAATGGAAAAATATTTAAATGAATAAATTAAATAAATCAATAGCGATTATAAACGCCCATTGAGGTCTAAATTGTCACATAATCCTCATTTTTTAAAATTCCCGTTATAAACTCAAATTTCTCGAGGAATTCCGTAAATCCCATTCATTAACACGGTGCTCCTAATATCTAACGGGATTGAAATTTATTAATTTTGTATCTTTTAGAAAAAATAATGAAACGTGTTAAAACATTTTTATAAAGTTAAGTATTTGAACTGTTAGGAAAAGGTGGCAGTAGAATTATGTTTAGACTTTATATAGGCATTAATATGCAAATTGTAAACCACCTGGGAGTTACTCATTCAAACTAACTATTTATTGTAAATATGCGAACTGACAGCTATACGTTTATAGCGACAGTTATTTTTAAAATTCCTGCAATAAATACAGAAATTATCTTGGCTGTATATCCGAATAAACCATTTCGAATTGGCCGAAACAAAATTTTATTAGAAGGCTTGTTTCGTTTTATGAGTATTCTCTCTACCGATTGTAATCTAATGTGGTTAAAAGTTAAATAATTCAACAAGTCTATTTAGTACCCGAATTACTCAATTTTTAAAGAAATAAAATTCTACTGTATATGCGCGCGGTAATTAAAAACTGATTAGGAGACCGGCGTAAAATTTGTAATTAATGTTTAAATTATGCGTGGAGCATCTAATTTTCTTTTCGCGTACGAATATATCTCGATTTTTATCTAC